TCACTTCATTCTAAAGTGAATCCAGACATTATGACAATCAGATCTTCCAGCAAAAATACTATTTCTGAAATAAAGTTAACACATGTTGTAACATAAAACCCTTTCAGGGCTTGCATTCTATCCAAAGGAATGGCTGGGCAATTTGGGAATGTAAGTACTAAGTTAAAAACAACGTCAAAAGGGATGCTTCAGGGGGCATACAGGAGTCACCTTGCTTAATGTTCACCATTTTCTAAGGCTACTTAGCAGAATGAAAACACAACGGTTCCATACTTAGCAGAAAGAAGAAACAATGGTTCCAGTTTAAGATTCACTTTAGATATGTGCTGATCCCAGTAGGAAGCTGACACCAATTCAAGTTCAGACTTCAACTTTAAAGCAAATAATGCCTAAGATTTATCACCTGGGAAACTCCTAGCGAATACAAAATTGTGATTAGCTTCACAGAACCTGGATACCAGGGCCACTACAACAAAAGAGAGCGTTCAAAACTCTTTGTTCAGATATATTGTTGAAGTACAAACATCTCTTTAAAAACAAGACGATTATATATTCAGTTCACCTTTAATTCTTATATTGCTTTTGTATACATTTTAGGTCAAACTGAAAATCCAGAGTTTAAAATAAAAAGTACTTCCCCCAGTTAGACATGCATTTGAGTTCACTTAGGTTTTGTTTTTATATCTTACTAGAACTAGCTTTGTTTAACTAATGGCCTGGGCACAAATACAGAAAACTTCAGACAAAGGAAACAGTCAAAGTCCACCGGAACAAAAGAAAAAAGAAAGAAGGAAAAGCTGTGTCTGAATGGTTCTGGGGTGATAGTCCTACTTCCTGACATGAGACTCTCCTGTGAAAACACAACATTCAGGGCTTCCAATGAGCATATTATAGTAGCTGGATCATTAACTAGTCATTAAGAACATCAATAACAATAGACTAAAGAAAGGGGAAAAAATCTTGACTGGCAAGAAACTGCAGAAGATAATCCAGCCAAGGTCACTGCAGTCTTCAGAAACACAGAACATAGCACATGCAATTCACAGGAAATTCTCAGTGAGGGACCAGAGGACAGAACCCACTTTTCTCATCCTTCTAACCAGCAATTATCTAGCTGACAGTGTGAGAAGGGCAGAGAAAAGTAGTAGCTAACACCAGTAAACCAGCAGTCAATCACTGCCACCTTCTCTTTCTCCTAAAAGAGAGATTCCTACGTTTATCTCTAGAGGAGGAGGGCATTAAAGGGTAAAATTAAAAAATGGATTCAGATTAAACGAAATATAAGAGCAGAAACATCGGACTGGATGGACCTTTGCATGTTTCCAAGATACCTTAGATATTAAAAATTGCATGCTAAACTGTTTCAATGTGACCTTGCATTAAAAGAGCAAACTCAAGGTCTATCAGACCTCTTCTCAAATTACAATAAGTAAGGACACTCAAGGACACCAGCGAAAGTTACCTTTGAAGTCAACCCATTGAAACCCTCACAGAGAAAAGCTGTTTCATATTCTCCATTGAACATTTATTCTTTCCAAGATGGTTGTAACAATTACCATATGACATCATATTCTAAACAAATCTAAATATTACTGAGAAGTCTTGAACGGTACACAAAAGTATTTTAAAATATATAATGATATTACAAAACCCTTATTTACACTGCTGAGTTTTTAAATGCATTGCTTCCTAAAAAACCCAGGGCCACGAGTAGGGTGCCAACTTTCTAATCGCACAAAACCAAACACCCTAGCCCTGCCCCAAGGCCCTGCCCCAGCAGTTACCCCTACATTCCCCCTCCCTCTGTGGCTTGCTCTCCCCCACCCTGACTCACTTTCACTGCGCTGGGGCAGGGGGCTGGGATGCGGGAGGGGGTGAGGGCTCTGGACTGGGGGTATAGGCTCTGGAGTAGGGCCAGGGATGAGGGGTTCAGAGTGTGTGAGGGGGCTCTGGGCTGGGGAAGGAGGCTGGGATGCAGGCTCTGGGATGGGGCTAGGGATGAGAGGTTTGGGGTGCAGAAGGGGGCTCTGGGTTTGTGGGGGTGGGCTCAGGGCTGGGGCAGGGGATTGGGGCGTGGGCTTACCTCCGGCAGCTCCTGGTCAGTGGTGCAGCGGGGGTGCTAAGGCAGGCTTCCTGCCTGTCCTGGCACTGTGGACCGTGCTGAGCCCCGGAAGTGGCCAGCAGCAGGTCCGGCTCCCAGGCGGCTCTGTGCACTGCTCTCAACTACAGGCACCCCCCACCCCAGAAGAGTGGGTGCTCGGGGCGGGGGCAGCACCCAGAGCCCCCTTGCTTAGGAGCCAGACCTGCTAGCCGCTTCTGGGGTGCAGCGCGGTGTCAGAACAGGTAGAGACTAGCCTGCCTTAGCCGGGAAGCACCACTAATCGGACTTTTAATGGCCCAGTTGGCGGTGCTGACCGGAGCCGCCAGGGTCCCTTTTCGACCAGGTGTTCCGGTCAAAAACCGGACACCTGGTCACCCTATCCATGAGTGACCTTCTGGGTTGGGAAGTGCTAGACAAGAGATCTCCAACACTGATTATAAAAATTAGAAATGGAAAAAACCTACTAGATTATTTTGCCCATCTCCTATTAAGAAGATGACATTGACCTACTACGCACTTGAAAAGCATCTCAGCAGCTGCACAAGCATGCTTGGCACATAGCTGATGAAACAGGGAGAGAACTGGGATTAAGCTGCACTAAAAGAATGGTGACAGAATTAATGGGTAACTGAAAACCAAAGGAAGTCACATCTGGACTGATCAAGCGCCTTTTGTTTCTGCTTTAGTGAGTTTTGATATGGCCTTGCTTGGTACCAGGTAGGTGAAGGAGAACACAAACTTGGATGCCTGTATTTCATATAACCAAGGATTCAGCCACCCACTCCTTCCCTTCCCACACGCACAGAGTTGTAAACTACTTTAGAAACAGTAAAGGCTATTTTATGTCTTCAGAGAAACAATTAGAAAGAGCTACTCTTCCAAAATATTTTTAACAATCTCTCACATATCATGCACCATGTACCCACTGCATCTGAACAAATTCAGAGGTAAGCTGCCAAAATAAATCTTATACTACTGGAGCAGAACCACATGCACTTGTTTGTTTATGCCCCCCACCCCCACAAACTTGTTTATTTACATTTAACTGTACTCAGAACTGGAATATAACAGACCCTCTTTAGATATAGACTCTGATAGGCTTTTTACTTCCGCAAGTTGGGGGAGTGGGAACTTGCCAGTTGCAACATCCTTCTGCCCCCCTCTGCTGGCTGATATAAGCAGCCACAGATATGAATGGGGCCCTTTTTCACCCCACTGTTTCTGAGAGAAATAATGAAGGACAGGGAGGGAGGAGGAGAATGAGAAAGCAAGAGAAGGGGGAAAATGAGATAAAAATGGCAATCAATCCTGACAAAAAAGGTATGGAATGAGATCTTATAGAAATGCTTTGAATAAGGGCACACTTACCAAACATCCCTCTACACAAACAAGGAGAAGACAAGAACCTGTATCTTGAAAAACTAGAAAGTGCTATTCAAACAGGCCAAACACGGAAGCTGTTACTACAGAGCCTTGTATACTATTGCTTCTGAAACTCTCCAAACGGGTATAAGAAATGAAACTGGCTTCTTAGAAAACTGAAGAAAAAAAAAAACTGTTCCTATCTGGAATATATATGGGCTTGTTCAAACATACACACAGTAGAGCAAGTAACTACATACATATAAGGCCCTGACAGTTGTTGTGCTGGCATTGACTAGCAATATACTATATTGTTGTGAAGCTCAGATCTGTTTGAATTCTTTACCATCTTCAAGAAAAATTACAAACGATAAAACACACAGTTAAAAACGTGGACTTTTTAGACGCCAACTAGCTATTCATTCAAGAACAAGAAAATAACTGTCCAGCTCCAAACAACCCAACCCAACCCTACTCTGATATTTAAATAGTTGCCTGTTAGGCTCTCCTTTTCAATTGTGTGGCTGAATGGAAAAATCTGATACCTTCAAGATACAGTGACTGATATTTATCAAGTGATATTTGTTTGGCAAGAAAAAAGAAACACCAAAACAAAACAAACCCTGGCACCTAATTGTTTTATTTGCTTCCTGCATAAGGGAAAAGGAATTTTCACGTATTAAGGGAATCCCTTGAGCAGGCAGAGAGAATTGAATTGTGACAGGGCAAACTTAAAATTCCAGTCCAATTCAAAGATGCAGGATTGCTGCCACACTAACAAAATTTAAACCTTAGGAATCCTGGCAGAATATGTTACATGATGCAGGATATGGTGGCTACAAATGCTCGATAGATCTCTATTATAGTCAACCACTATTAAAAAAAAAAAAAAAAAAAAAGAGCACCAAGGACTTTTTTCTCACCAAGTATAGTTTGATGGGAGAGGCCCCGTTTTTGGTTGTAGACTTCTCAGAAGTTACAGTATTCGAATACACTTTTTTCTGCACTCTGTCATAAGGCCTTCCATAACATGTACAAAAACTAGAGTACAGTAAATTTCATGTGTCTTTGGCAAGGCTGCCTTCCACATTAGCTGCTATAGTCTCACTCATTATTCTGCAAGCCTACAAGAACCTGTTTTTTAAAAGACATTCATCTAATCAGAATATGAACATTAAAAAAAAATCTATGGGTCTGTATAGAAAAGGTACATTGCAATTCATTTTATACCTTTATAATATAAGACCCTAATCTCTATCTGATAATTAGATTAGTAATAACTTTGTAAAAAGTCAGATTTTTCTGGTAAATAAGATTTCAAAACAGAAGCAGTAATTAAATTGGTAGGCCAGTAATCCAGCTCATTTAAAAATATATCTATCATTAATATTGTGCTACACATAAATGAATATAATATGAAAACATCCATTGACAAACTGCACTGATGGGTCACAACCACTCCTGACTGCATGCAGTATAGCTAGCAAAATGTACTGTATACTACGCAGTATGTACTCCAGAGAACACTAAGGCATACCTTTCAGTCTTTTGGAATTTCCATTCTTTTGCTGCTCATCTTCTTCGTTAATGGTGAATAAACCAGGGGGATTTGTCCTTGCACTTGTCTTCTTCAGTCTCTCTTGTCGGATAGCAGTAGCTGCCCCAGGCATGTTTCTGCTATTACTTGCTTATTACAATATATATATATATTTAAGCAACTGCAGTGCCTGTGTAGCAGCTAGCTGCAGACCTGCCTGTTCATTTGAGCACTTGTAATAGATCCCCTATCGGTAAGCAGTATGCAAAGAGCTGACAAATATCAACATCCACTTGGCAGCAGAGGGCCTGCAATTTCACCCACCTTCGAGAAAAGCCCTAATTAAAGGCACATTGGTTTGGATGCCTCTCTTCGCTGCTTTAACCTGTTCAATCAGATCCCAGCCCACAGCTTCTCCTTTCTGCAGCAGCACCTCTTCCCCAAGCTTCTTCCAGCTACAGCACACTAAAATATTCAGCACGCAACACAGGAGGAAAAAATACGATACGCCACCGTTAACAGTTGCCCTGACAACAGTGACATATCCTAATCAAAGGAAGTCTATGAATGTTGTCTCCTCAGCTGCAGAAAGCAGCCTGCCGGAATGCTTGCTCCTGCATGCTTAGCGCAAAGGGTTACAGTGTAAAGAGATGTAACCACCTAGTCAACTGGGCTGCTCCTTCGCTCTGCGCAGGGCGGTAGGAGGATGGAGTTCTGCTTGCACAAGCAGATGAGTATTGAGCGAAGAGAAGCCTAAAAGGCTGCAGGCATGAGCCTGCATTCTGCCAGCTGTTCTGTTTATTAAAGTTTACAGTCCCCAGCCTAACCAAAACTCAAACAACATGAGTTTTTCACTTAACACCTTCACAAGCATTGCATACCTTTTGCAATAAGAGTACATACACCCAGGATTACTGGCAAGCGTTGAGTTATTCATGTTTGGAAAATGTAAGTTAGTGTACACATTTTTCTTGTGCAGACAGACAATGTGGGCAAAGAAAAGGCTGCTTAAGCTGAATGTACAGTGAATATTCCCTATTGCAATGTCAGTTTTACAGCAAAGAGATCATTAATGACCTACAATTGGTTCTGCAGAAAGGCCAAATTACAATCAATTATAATCAGCTAAGTTTTCCCCATCATGATGGCAAAGTTAACATAGTGATTCTGGATTCTCATTCCCCATCCACAATGGAGGACCTGCTCACACTTTTGCAATCTTCTAATTTTTTTAAACTGTTTTTGCACAGAATCCAGTGATCACTGTGATATGCAAAGCCCTGAACAGCTGATTTTGCAGGTAAGCTTAGCCTCCTTTAACACTTCCACCATTTCTCAACCTCAAGCTAAGAGCACAGTTGCCACACCAAATACTATTAATTTTTAAATTTCAACCAAATCCTAAAAAATTATTTGTATTCCCAGAAGTTGCTAGGTGTTCTTTTCACATCTAAATTTCAGAATCTGAAATTTCATACACCTGGTCTAAAATGTTCTCCCCCCCGCCCCCCACTGCCCATATGTAGACGGCAATACACAGCAGCGTAAATGTTAGAGGACAATACAATAGCAATAGGGAGCTCATCTTGCCAATGCAGATGATATGAGATATGCAGCTGAAAGGGTGTCTCATCTATAGATTTTGTGAAAAAACAGGGGCTGAGTTAAGGTTATTTGAGTTACCTTTAAACTGCACATCCAAATTGGTTGCCTGGAAATAGCAGTATAATATACCTTGCCTGCCATTCTCCCTGAGGATAGGGCCTTGGGAGGTCAGCAAGAGGTGACAGCTCTGTTCTCACACACATAAGTCATGTCACTTAACAGGGAAAAACTGGGGGATGATGAGGCATAGCATTAACTGAGCTCAGAAATGGTAATCATAGAGCATTCATGCTCTGTATCTGAGAAAGAGGAAAAGGTACTAAGAGAAACAGTAAGGTATTCACGAAAGCACAGGCTTTGAGACAGGTCTATTATCTCGCTTGCCTGACCCCCGTATTTCCTTTAGACCGAGGTCCTTGCTCTTGGCAATATCCCAGCTTATCTGGGTGTACCATGGAAGTTAGAGACTGATGACATTTGTATAATAATAAGGTAGAAGGTGCTTTATATTGAAAGGTGTTGGCCAAACGTAGAATTAACAAACAAACCACTTTGACACGTTGTTCCTACCTCAGCAATTTGCCTTCCAGTGTTTATTCAGGCTGCTACTTTGTATTGGAAAAGAGAAACTGGAAATAAGCTTCAGTTGCTGAAACCCTGTCCACGTACCTGCTTACTACAACAAAGATTTATGCAATTGTGGGTACACACCCACATGAATTAGAATGTGTTTAACCTCTTGTGTACCATTCATAGTTTTCACAGGTAGCTAGGCTCTGTTTCCAAAACAATAGAAGAATTTAAAGTGCATATGAAAAGTGCTTATACTATATGACTGTTTGGCTAATAATATCATTTCACTTCCTTTCATGTTTACAAATACATATTTTAATAAAACTAAACTCCTTTTAACAGTTCCATTTTGCAGATATTTTAAAACAAACTATCAAATAGCCACTTACAATACCTGTTCTATTTAAACCATTAATTTAAAAATGAAAAAAAATTGTTGGGCGTTTCAGCAAATACACCAATGATTGAATGGGCCATGTAGACTTAAGTACAATTTCATTCTTACAGGTGGTCCCCTCGAGTCAGGAAGACTGGCCCACAGGGATGACAGATGGGGAAGTTGGCACTGTTACTTCTCATGTGTTACCGCTATGGTGGATAAAAGAAAGGATATCACGCTTTAGGTTTGAGAAGGACATCTTTCATACATATTTAACTCACACGTAAGTGCATTTAATATGCTTAAATAGTTATTAAAGGACAATGATCATTATTTGGGGAAGCAATATGGTCTAGTGGAGAGAGCACTGGACTGTAAGTCAAGAGACCTGGGTTCTATTTCCACGCTGCCATTGACCTGATGTGTGACCATGTGCAGGCTACCTCATCTCTCTGTACTTCTGTTTCCCCTCCCAGTATTTGTTTGCTTGTCTGTTTACACAGACAAGCTCTTTGTGGTAAAAACTGTCTGCCATTACATGTTTGGGAATGCCTAGCCCAATGGGGTCCCAATCTCACTTGCAGTCTCTACATGCTGCTGTAATGCAAATAATAATTAAAAACTAAAATATCAGACAAATGCTCTAAATGCATAAATCCAGAAATGAAAAAATTCTTTGGCTAGAAGTAGAGACCACTTGTTTATGTTATACAAACATAACTACAACATTTTAATAATTAAAGTGTACTGTACAATCAAATACACTAAATAACTTTGTGCTCTTTTCCCTTTTTCTTCCTGATAACACTATAAAATACTCTCAATTAAATTGGAAATAGTAGAAGTAGAGCATTATCTCAATAAAATATTACTGATAAGTCTGATTTAATAAAGCTGTTTACTAGGTTGTCGATGCAATCACATAATCTTATCATTGTTACCTTTGTTTTCCCTCCCCTTCTCCTTCCTCTTGCTTATTAAATCTACAGTAACTTCCCACTCAACGTCCTCTCACTTAACGTTGTTTCAGTCTTACGTCCCTGCTCCATTACAGAACATGCTCCATTTAAAGTTGTGCAATGCTTCGCTATAACGTTGTTTGACTGCCTGCTTTGTCCACAGCTGGCAAGCGCCGTTAGCTCCCCTACGCCCCGCCCCCCACAGGACCTCCCGCCCGCCAGCAGACCCTGCGGATCAGCGCCTTCCCCCTCCCGCCCCCCCCGGCAATCAGCTGGCTTGCGCCCTTCAAGAGGGAGTGGGGAGGAGCAAGGACTTTGCACACAGGCTCCCTCTCCCACCCGAATGCTGCAAACCAGCAGTTTGTCACGGGCGGGCACGAGGGGGGAGGCTGCGGTCAGAGTTCTCGCTCCTCCCCCCACCCTCCTGCCCCCTGAACGCCGCAAGCCAGCTGATTGCCGCAGGCAGGAGGAAGGGGGGAGGAGCAAGGACCCAGCGCGTCTCCCCCTCCCTCCCCTGCCTCCTGCCCAGGGCAATCAGCTGGCTTGCGGTGTTCAGGAGGCAGGGGAGGGAGGGGGAGCCTGCGAGCCATATCCTTGCTCCTCCCCCCTCCCTCCTGCCTCCTGAACGCTGCAAGCCAGCTGATTGCCATGAGCAGGAGACAGGGGAGGGAGGGGGAGGAGCGAGGATGGGGCGTGCAGAGTAAAAGGGGGAGGGGGGAAGAAGAGGTGGGTTAAGGGTGGGGGCTTGGGGGGGCGTGGGTGGGCCGAGGGTTGAGCCCCCCATCCCCTGGTGCTTGCAGAATAGGGGAAGCTGCCACTGCGCAACATGCTTCTCCTAGCCTACAGCACCTTCAGCCTCCTTGCCTGCCTCATCGTCTCCAGTGCCAGTGGGCTGGGCCTGTGTGGGGTAAGGTAGGGCACCTCCCAACTATAGTACTATACGGCAAAAAAAAAAAAAATTCCCTGGAACCTCACCTCCCCCACCCCATTTACATTCATTCTTATGGGGAAATTGGATTCGCTTAACATAGTTTCGCTTAAAGTCGCATTTTTCAGGAACATAACTACAACGTTAAGTGAGGAGTTACTGTACTTGTTATATATGGTCATAAAATCAGAAGAAAGAACCATGTCCTACAATAGGTTTTTGAAGTGCCTAGCATCCTGATAAGCGTCTCTAGGCACTGTTGTAATATAAAACAACAATTATGATGATGCACCAGTATATGTAACAATATTAACTTAATTTAAACAACTTTGGTATTAAGTATAAATATATGATAGGAATCAATGGTATTTTTCTATTAAACCCACATGCCCCTGCTCCACTCAAGAAATTCTGTCTTGTAGTAGCCAGTGGTGATAAAATACTATTGAGTGAGAAGAAAAACTTCCCGTTAGTCAAAAAGATGGAATACCACTGACAAGAGTTTAGATGTGCTCTGAATAGATTTAAATAAGCAATAAGTTAACTCACTTCTGAAAGTCAAAGCCCTGAAAATACACCAGTTTCGTTAACTAAGTCTCCATTCTTTGAATTAGAATATTTTAATTGAAGAATCAGAGAACACTGTCATTCATTTAAATTGGAATAAATGATCTAACATCCACTAAAAT